TCGACTAGATAAATGTGTATACTGTCCTCCTCCTGATCAGGTGACAATTTCATATTTAGAGTCCAAAACCCAACAAATGCTACACTCTTTCCTTGTGAGCTTTACTTCTGCCAAGTAATGGCAATTGTCCTTAGAAGACCAGCTTTCTTAGGCAAAGGCCTTAGCCACTGTTTGCTCAAAGCATAAAAAAGATTCTGAATTAGATGCAAAGCCTTTCTTTGACCCAGCCATTTCTATGCAAGTCTGAAAACTTTGTAATCCTTCCTTGTTGGCTGATTGGGAGAAAAAAAATGTAAGAAACCTAAAGTACTGTATTTTCACCTTCTATTGTGTTCAAAGATCGCATAGTTCCATTATTCTGTTAAAAAAAAAACTCTGATACAGAATCAAGCATGTGAATCATAAGCATGTAAGCAGGTTTCACAGAGACAGTTTTTCAATTCTTCCTAGTCCTGTGTTGTTCCAACTCTTGTTCTCCAATTTAGAAATGAACAAATAAATGAAAGAACATAGACAAATGAATAGTCAAAAGTATAAAGTATCTGAATATGTTACATATAGCTATTTATTTTTATTTTTATTATTTATTTATTTATTTTTTTTTTTTGAGACAGTTTCGCTCTTGTTACCCAGGCTGGAGTGCAATGGCGCAATCTCGGCTCACTGCAACCTCTGCCTCCTGGGTTCAGGCAATTCTCCTGCCTCAGCCTCCTGAGTAGGTGGGATTACAGGCACGCGCCACCATGCCCAGCTAAGTTTTTGTATTTTTAGTAGAGACGGGGTTTCACCATGTTGACCAGAATGGTCTCGATCTCTTGACCTCATGATTCACCCGCCTCGGCCTCCCAAAGTGCTGAGATTACAGTCTTGAGCCACCGCACCCAGCCACATATAGCTATTTATTTTAAATTTTCCTTTTGAAATACCTTCTTGGCATACTTGCCCAAATCTAGAAAATAAGCACTGTGAATAAGAAATTATTTACACTGATTATTTTGTCTTTTTTTTTTTTTTTTTTTTTTTGAGACAAGGTCTCACTTATCACCCAGGCTGGAGTACAGTGATGCAGTCACAACTTACTGCAGCCTCTATGTCCCAGTCTCAACCAATATTCCCACTTTAGCCTCCTGAGTAGCTGGGACCACAGGTACACACTACCATGCCCAGCTAACTTTATTTTTAATTATTTTGTAGAGATGTCCTAGGCTGTCCTTGAACTCCTGAGCTCATGTGATCCTCTCACCTCAGCCTCCCAAAGTGTTGGGATTACAGAGTCGGGTGTCAGCCTTAAGAATGTTGATTTTCATTCATTTTCCTACCTATATTATTTCTGTTGGGGAAAAAGTTCCAGGGAAGATAAATAGTAGGCTGTTGGTACATTTCTCAACTTACTTATAAAGCTTATTAGATGTAGAAGGTTAATTTATGAAGAAAATCATGAGATACACAATTTATGTTTAATTTTTTGTTAAATTTTTCTCTCTTCAGGTATCACGTCTTGAAATTTTAAGTGTCCTAAGTGACTCTCTACCTCTGGCAGATGATGTTGACCTGCAGCATATAGCATCAGTAACTGACTCCTTTACTGGAGCTGATTTGAAAGCTTTACTTTACAATGCCCAGTTAGAGGCCTTACATGGAAGGCTGCTCTTGAGTGGACTACAGGTAAGTTATATGAGGAAGCTGTTATGACATTTTATGAGTAATAAGAGAAGTACAATGTCAAAATTTCAACCTGAAAAAAAATGCTCTTTTTTTTCTTTTTTGTATCTTTCCTCTCTTTCTTCCTGTAACCTCAAACTCTTCAGCAAAATACTATTTTTTAAACAACTTTGGTAAAACTGTACAGAAATTTAAATTTACCTTTAGTTGAGTGCTCCATAGTTGGAATATGGGTTTTGCAGAGCATTTATAATTATGAAGAGTTTGGTGTCTGTTTCTTTAACATTACCTTAATAATTGGCAAAAACATGTTGGTGTTTATAAGGATATTTTTTAAATCGTGATACCATGAATTGGGATACCATGTAGCCTTCACTACAAACAAAAATAATTAGCACTTTTAGTTTGTTTGTACTTTAATTTTTTTAAAAAATCAGTTAAAGTTGTTATTTTGAAGCTCAAATTGTCCCAATCTGGCCAATAGAAGCCCTTTTTGTATGGCTCCTGTATCCTTATGACGCATCCTTATCATTCTTGGATCACTTCCTTACTTCCAGATACAAGATATTTTTGGCCAGGTGTGGTGGCTCACACCCGTAATCCCAACACTTTCGCAGGCCAAGGCAGGATTGCTTGAGCCTACTTTGAGACAAAACTGTGGGCACAAACTGTACCCACTGTGGGCAACAGAGTGGGATCTTGTCTCTACAAAAAAATTAAAAATTAGCTGGGCATGGTGGCGCAGACCTGTAGTCCTAGCTACTTGGGAGAAGCTGAGGCAGGAGGATCACTTGAGCCAAGGAAGTCCAGGATGCAGTGAGCCATGATTGTGCCATTGCACTCCAGCCTGAATGACAGAGAGAGACCCTGTCTCAAAAACAAGAAATATATTGTTTATCTTATTCTTTTTGTCTCCCAGCCCTAGCATCAGCCTTTTCTCTAAAGATAGTATTAAGATTTTATTATTTACAGTAGATAATTTGAACTGTTATAGACTTTACCATATCTGTATACCCTTCTTTACCACATTTTGTTGGAATGTCTACAGAGCCTACAGTTTCTAAATTGGATACTCCTAAAATTTTTATTTATTTTGGTAAGCCATTGAAGTTCTCCTCCGTTCCTTTACTACAAAGAAAGGTGTATATTTGTAGAGCTTGCTATAATGAGAAAGCACTCTATAACATGGTTCATTCATCATTTTGGAGTGGAAAAGTATGAATGGAAAGTCAGAGACATAAAAATAAAACCCAGAGGTCTGAGTGTTAGCTTTATTACAGACTTTCTGGCTTGCAGGGAGGGAGGGGATGGTGGTAAATTATTTACAAATTCTGTCTTGTTTTTACATTTTAATAAATTTTTACCATGTGCCTCAAAACTGTTAGAGAATTAATGAGCTTTTTGAAAAAATGCTTCAGGTTTCTTGTATTGCCCTATTAGAATGCTATGTTATTATTTATATCTGAGACCAAAATTGTTTACATCTTTAAACTGGTTATCCTTTTGTGTATTTTAGGATGGAAGTTCCAGCTCTGATAGTGACCTAAGTCTGTCTTCAATGGTCTTTCTTAATCATAGCAGTGGCTCTGACGATTCAGCTGGAGATGGAGAATGTGGCTTAGATCAATCTCTTGTTTCTTTAGAGATGTCCGAGATCCTTCCAGATGAATCAAAATTCAATATGTACCGGCTCTACTTTGGAAGCTCTTATGAATCAGAACTTGGAAATGGAACCTCTTCTGATTTGGTATCTTGTGTAGTCATCATTATATAGTTCTGAAGTATAAAGCTGTATGTTGTTGTAAAGTTGGAGTGATTTCTGTCTTAACCAGCCCTTCATATTCCTGGTTGGTTGGTTCTTCAGTAAGTTGTTTTCTTACTTATACTAATTGGTAATTTTCATTCCTTGTTAAGACAGAGCTGGAAGCAAGGAACCAAAGTAACGCATGGTTGTGATTACTTGATTTCTTTCAGGTTTCTCTTTTTTTTTTTTTTTGAGATGGAGTCTTACTCTTTCACCCAAGCTAGAGTACAGTGGTGCAACCATGGCTTACTGCAGCCTCCACCTCCCAGGTTCAAACAGTTCTCCTGCCTCAGCCTCTTCAATAGCTGGGATTATGGGATTACAGGTGCACACCACCACACCTGGCTAATTTTTGTATTTTTATTAGAGATGGGGTTTCACCATGTTGGTCAGGCAGGTCTCGAACTCCTGATCTCATGATCTGCTTGCCTTGGTCTCCCTAAGGGCTGGGATTGCAGGCTTGAGCCACTGCGCCTGGATTTTTTTTTTTTTTTTTAGATGAAGGCTCGCTCTGTTGCCAGGCTGGAGTGCAGTGGCACAATCTCAGCTCACTGCAACCTCCATCCCCTGGGTTTAAAGTATTCTCCTGCCTCACCCTCAGCCCCCCAAGTAGCTGGGATTACAGACGTGTGCCACCATATCCAGCTAATTTTTGTATTTTTGGTAGAGATGGGGTTTCACCATGCTGGCCAGGATGGTCTCAGTCTCATGACCTCGTGATCCCCCTGCCTCAGCCTCCCAAAGTCCTAGAATTGCAGGCATGAGCCACCGCGCCTGGCCCTCAGGTTCCTCTCTCTTACCTAGTGGTTTTAAAAATGTCTTTAGGAGCAGTTCCATTTTATAGTTAACTTAAATTCTTTATCATGAACAGTTGAGGATAATGAGTAATTTGATACAATAATGTCAAAAATTCCTGAAAACAAAATGTTATCTGATACTTTTGCTGTGCAAACTGTAAGCACAGTGAAGTGTACTAATAATGTTTCAACAGGAAAGCGTTTTGATTAAATGTGGGCAGTATCACTGTTACTCTACTAGCATTCAACATCTCTTCTCAAAACTGATAGTGGTTCACTGTAATTTTATTGGTACATGTAAGATTTGTACATATATTTGGTTACGTTTCCTGTGTTTTTGTACATTTGCTTTATTCATGCTTGCTTTTTTTTTTTGGAGACAGAATCTCACTCTGTCACCCAAACTAGAGTGCAGTGGCACAATTATGGCTCATTGCAGCCTTGACCTCCTGGGCTTAGGTGATCCTCCCACCTCAGCCTCCTGAGTAGCTGGGACTACAGGCACGTGCCACCATGCCCAGCTAATTTTTGTATTTTTTGTAGAGGAGAGGTTTTACCATGTTGCCCAGGCTGGTCTCAAACTCATGGGCTCAAGCAGTTTGCCTGCCTTGACCTCCCAAAGTGAGCTACGATTACAGGTCTGAGCCACCATGCCCAGCCTAACTAAGACTTTAAAAATATAAAAATGACCCATTTTTATTCCCAAAAATAGGCGGTGTTTTTAGTCTTTAATTCTGTTTTTTCTTTTTTTTAACAGAACAATAAACACCTTTATTACATGGGTGGAGAAAACAAGGATTTATTTGCCTTTCCGGGCCTTGATTTTCCTAAGATAGAACTCCAACTCTTTGCCCTCTAGCACATAGCCATCTGCTCGGCCACACTGTCCCAGCCTTGAAGCTTTGCATGCAAGAAGCTTGCCCTGCTGGAACTGCTCCTCCAGTAGACTGCTGATTTTGGCATTCTTTTTCCTTTCGTCGTATTTCTTCTGAATTTTTCTAAATCGTTTTTTGTTTAAAATCTCTTCTTCCTCAGGAGTCAGTTTGGCTCCCTTCTTGCAGCCCAGGGGCAGCGCGTAGTGGGACTGGTACCACTGTCAGTACGGCGTGCTGTCAATGAGCACGATGCAATTCTTCACCAGGGTCTTGGTACGGACCAGCTCATTATTAGACGCATTATAGACAACATCAATGACCCTTGTTTTTCGAGTACAACACTCTGAGCCCCAGGAGAAATTTCCCACGTCCAGCCTCAGGGCACGGTATTTCTTGTTACTGCCCCGCACGCAGACTGTGTGGATGCGGCGGGGACCAATCTTGGTGTTGGCAGCCGGGCGCCCCAACTCCTACTTCGGCTTCTTGTGGCGCTTGTGCCAGTTGTCCCGAGAGATGCCCATCACTCGGCACTGGCTGGAAAGAGTTTAATTCTGTTTTTTACTTCTTCTATCTAGAAATGTCCCAGAAGCTTTGTTTTCTGAAAACGAAGAAACTTGCCCTTGAGCGTATTAGTGTGTTGGATTTAACCAACAAAGCATTTAAAAAACCTACCTTGTGTTAGGCTAGTTTTCACTCTATGGTGGTTCTATAACATAGATATCAGAGAACCTTTATAGAATATGAACAACCTTTCAATGTGCTTCACTTCAGTTAACTAACATGTATACTTATCTGTGTTAATGTTTTATTGCTTAAAATGTTTAATTTTTATCTTTGGTAAACACAGTCTTTTCTCTCCCCTGCTTCCTTCCATCTTTCATTACTGCAATTTACCATGCAGAGCTCACAGTGTCTCTCTGCACCAAGCTCCGTGACTCAGGATTTGTCTGGAGTTCCTGGGAAAGACCAGTTGTTTTCACAGCCTCCAATGTTGAGGACAGTTTCACAAGAGGGTTGCCAAGAACTTACACAAGAACAAAGAGATCAACTGAGGGCAGATATCAGTATTATCAAAGGCAGATACCGGAGCCAAAGTGGAGTATGACTTTTTTCCTCCTCATTATAATTTTTAAAAGTTCTTAAAAATCGTTTCTCCCTGTTTTGATAGTATTTCTTTGATTTACAAATGAACTATATTTATAAACAAGGGACCAGAACACATTAACTCAGTCAAATGGTTATGTACTTTCTTGCTTTTGATGTTTCGTTATAAGGAAGCGAATATATAATCTCTTGAAAAAACTGACAAGTAACAATTGGACTATCACATTTTTCTTTACATCCCTAAGTTAACTCTTTGTCAATTTCTTTTATTATTTAAGGAGGATGACTCCATTAACCAACCAGGACCAATGAAAACCAGACTGGCTATTAATCAGTCACATTTAATGACTGCACTTGGTCACACAAGACCATCCATTAGTGAAGATGACTGGAAGAATTTTGCTGAGCTGTAAGTAACAGATTCTGATTTGGAAGTATAGCTATATTACAAGTCACATAGTAATAAACTTAAAATTTTAAGTTCTTGTTTAGAATAAAAAGTAGTATTTTGAATATTTAAAAGCCAATTCAAAAAAAATCTGTGGTAGCTATGCATTTAAAAATCCCAAAATGTCAGAAGTACAGAAGTCAAAATTGAGTTTTCATTAACCAGTTCATTTGATTATATTTGAATTATTCATAACAGACTCATTTAATTTTAGTAACTTTGGGCTGGGCACAGTGGCTCACGCCTGTAATCCCAACACTTTGGGAGGCTGAGGTGGATGGATCACCTGACGTCAGGAGTTCGAAACCAGCCTGGCCAATACAATGAAATGCTGCCTCTACTAAAAATACAAAAATTAGCCAGGTGTGGTGGCATTCACCCATATTCCCAGTTACTCGGGAGGCCAAAACAGGATAATTGCTTGAACCTGGGAGGCGGAGGTTGCAGTGAGATGAGATCGCACCAGTGTACTCCATCCTGGGCAACAGAGCAAGACTCCATCTCAATTTTAAAAAAAATAGTAACTTTGAAGAAATAAGGAAAATTAAAAATTCAAAGTAGTCTGGCATGGTGGCTCACGCCTTTAATCCCAAAACTTTGGGAGGCCAAGGCAGATGGATCACCTGAGGTTGGGAGTTCTAGACCAGCCTCATCAACGTGGAGAAACCCCATCTCTACTAAAAATACAAAATTAGCCAGGCATGGTGGTGCATACCTGTAATCCCAGCGACTCAGGAGGCTAAGGCAGGAGAATTGCTTGAACCTGGGAGGCAGAGATTGTGGTGAGCCGAGTGCCACTGCACTCCAGCCTAGGCAACAGAAGCAAAACTCCGTCTTAAAAAAAAAAAAAAAGTTCAAAGTGATTTTAATGTATACTTTGTAAAATTTGTTATAAAATACTTGTTTTGCCTTAAAAATAATTTATATTTTATTAATCTCAAGAACATTTAAATACATTCAGATTTATTCATTTGCAAACCACATTTGTTATACATTGGATTTATAGGATTCTTGCAATTGAATTTATGGCCACCTATGAATCTGAGACCCATGACTGGGAATCATTCTAAGTCAATGATTCAATGTAATTCAATTTAAGAGATGTTTATTCCTGGTCTTCAGAAGCTGCTGCCCTTTGTTATCTAATTTTGCAGTACTTCAGAGTATGTATGTGTACATACATTAGTTCTATGTATTTATTATAGAAGAATCAGAAAACAGAAGGAAAAATGAAACAAATTTCACCTAACTCCACCACCTCCCAAAGCATATTTGTTTACATGCTTATATACTTTTTCCTATTATAAGAACACTTTGTACCTATTGCTATATAGCACTCCCCCTTTATCCATATACATCCTGAAAATTGTTTTACATTTTAAGTGTTTACTTTGTTTTTAAATGTCATTTTATAGTGTAGATATGCCACAATATCCCATTTTTAGACATTTAAATTGCTCCCAGGCAATATGGTAATGAACATTCTTGCAGCTATGAATATATGCACCTATCTCATTGTTTCACTGGGATAGAGGTGGAATTGTTACATATAACAGGGAGCTCACATTTAAGGCTTTCGAAATGTATTGCCAAATTGCCTTCCAGAAAATTTCAACAGCAGTATGTGAGAGTGCCAGGTATACTGCACCATCACTACTAATAGTGAGTGTTGTAGTATTTTTCTAAACTTTGCCCTTTTGATTGGAGAAAAATGATATCTTAATAATTTACATTTCTTTGATTAAAAGTGTAGAGGTTATAATTTTTTTTATATTATTCATTGTCCTTTGTATTTTATCTTTTCTCATTTGTCTCTTCATCCCCTTTGCTCCGTTTTCTATTGGAATGCAACTTTATTTGTAAGAATTCTTCTAATTTCTGTGACTGGCATTTTTTTTTTTTCTAGTTTGTTATTTCCCATTCATTTCTTAAAATATAATTAAAATTATATTTTAAGACAATCCATTGTCTTTTGTAATTATACTGTTTACGCATATTAAATTATCTCTTTTCAGATATGAAAGCTTTCAAAATCCAAAGAAAAGGAAAAATCAAAGTGGAACAATGTTTCGACCTGGACAGAAAGTAACTTTAGCATAACACTTCTTTTGGGGTTTTGTTTTTGGTGGCTTGTCCATATGTTGTAATAGGGAAAAATGGCGTCTGTAAATTTCTTAATTTAACAAATTTGATTTATAAAATCAGATTGGCAAATGCTGTAATTATGTAATGTTCAGGATTGAGATTAATACTGTAGTGTAAATTGGGACATTTATAACTGATTGTATATTTTATTTCCTATAAATCTATATTCAGTATTTAATGAAATAATATTAGCCAAATGGTGGAACTAATTTATTTCCTTTGAGGAAAAGATAATAAAGAATGTAATTAAATTTAAATTTCTTGGCATTCACAGTTGCACATTCAACATCTTGGTAGTATTTGATAAATTTTACGCTTAGCAGCTTCTTCACTGTTTTTGAAATAAAATATCCTATTACCTACTGATACTATTATCTGTTGTTCTTATATCAAAAAGTGCAAAATTTATACATAATTCAAATACATTTAATTATCCACTCAGCCAGAAATGAACTCACATTCCCCTAATATGCTACATCTGGCTCCAAGCCCAAGATATCTAATGTCATCCATTCCTCTAGTTCCAGTTATGATTTTATCTTGATATTCTCTCATCTATGAACTAAATAGTAACAGCCACTATCAATACAATCTGTGTATCTGATATCTATATAGTAATGGGGTAAAGAAAAAGCACAAAAGAGAACATCAGTTAAATACACAAATAAGCCTGGGCAACATAGTGAGACCCCATCACTTAAAAAAAAATTAGCCATGCATGATGGTGTGCGTCTATTCCCAGCTACCTGGGAGGCTGAGGCAGGAAAATCACTTGATCCCAGGAGGTTGAGGCTGCACTGAGCCATGATAGTACCACTGTACTTTAGCCTGGGCCACGGAGTAAGACCCTATCTCTAAAATTTAAATTTAAATAAAGGAGACAGCAATGAAGGATGTATAGGCAGCAACCATTGCCCCTTCTCCAGCTAAACACGCGGCCATGGCTGATACATTATTTTACTTCTCTGTTTTGTTACTTATTTCATGTTCCTCTGAATTCAGCCAGCGCTTCCTGGGTGCAGCAGCTCACACCTGTAATCCCAGCACTTTGGGAGGCTGAGATGGGCAGATCATGAGGTTCAGAGTTCAAGACCGCCTGGCCAGCACAGTGAAACCCTGTCTCTACTAAAGTACAAAAATTAACTGGGCATGTTGGCGCATGCCTGTATTCCCAGCTATTTGGGAGGCTGAGGCAGGAGAACTGCTTGAGCTTAGGAGGTAGAGCTTGCAGTGAGCTAAGATCACACCACTGCACTCCAGCCTGGGCGACAGAGCAAGACTCCAACTAAAAGATAGGAATGAAGGTTTTGGGCTATCCCATGTGAACCATGGGTAGGCCTGCCTGTCTAAGGTTGCAAAAGTCTCCCATTAAATATTGTCATTGGCCAATGTTATCCACAAAATTCTATCTGTACTTTCTCCATCCCCCAGTGTGTAGCACCAATTCTGTAGTCCTTCATTAGAATCAATTTACTCAGCCAGCATCATAACTGTTCCCTTCCAAACCGCTGGGTAGAAGCATTTGTCCTTCAATTATCTCTAAACCAGCAAAGCTCAGAATCCCAGCGGATAGAAGCAAACACTTTGTGGATCGCAGGTATAAAACTGAGAAGTGCCACCTGCCACTGTACTTTCTCAGTTCCTTGATGGCATCACTGAGCTGACATACCTGCCCTGTTTTCACCATAAAGTGAGTTTCATGACCAGAAGCAATGTCTATGGGATAGCATAACAATGTAAAAAGCATTTAGTAAGTTCATGAACGGTGGTGGTGGTAAAAGTTTGGAAAAATACAAAACAAATACAATTTCAAGGTGTGTCCCTCCAGGAAAGACAAATTGCTGCTTCCTCTGTGATAGGAGAGGGTCAGATATAATCAACCTGCCACCAGACTTGTGCTGGTCTCCCATGGGTGTGGACTTGCCTCGTTGGTCACTGCTGCTGACAAGGGTAAGGTCTTTTAGGCTGACTGACTGTACCATGGACAGCAATGGTAACCTCTGTGACCTGCACGTACACCTCCAGATGAGTTTCTGGAACTAGAAAGTCTGAA